CGGAAAGAGCGAACATGAGAAGACAGAGAAGGTCCCAAGACCCAAGACAACGGCGATGCACCATCGCAATCGGTGAGTGGACAGCTGCAGTTTCGGATGCACGACGCTAGGCCTTCTCTGGATAGACCCACGTTGTCGGGCGCTTAATTGTGCCATGGCTTGGGTGCGGTGGGCCTGGGCGTTGAGGTCACATCAGTAGATTGGTCGGTGGCCACTATTAATTGGGCAATGCGGTCGCTCCTGCGAACCTGTTGCTATTGCTGGCACATTGTTGAACAGGGGGGAGTAGGCAGGTCTTGACCTGGGCTGGACCTTCCTGCCTCCTCTTCTCTGCATCCTGACCCAACCATCCGTCTGACCGCATTCGAAGTACCTTACCTTACCTACCTTAGGTAAGGTATACAGACCTACCAAACCTTGAGGTGCCTGAATGACCGACGCCATCAGTCCACGAGGCGAGGTGTCCCTCCTTTCGTGGTCGGGAAAGTGGCTAAAAGAGGAGGACCAAGTTCAAGATCCTAGTCAGGTCGCACCAGCTTGGTCCCTTCAGGTCCAGGGTAGCGACCGCTCTGTTCCCCCTCGACCGCATCAATGCAACTATACCGTCCAAACTCAACAAACGACGGTGCATCGCGAATCACTTTCTCCCCCAGAATCTGGTCCACACCCCTGCAGTAGGGGAAACCCCTTGACCCCTGGCTCTCTTGACTCCTGCCACCCCTTGCCTGACATACCATGGGTGCAAGGGGGCAACATGGGGACTTTCTGTCGAAAAATGACCCTCCAGTGCCGAATCCACCAGCTCGGTCCAACAGCCCGCCGTCTCTCCTGCAGATGCCATCGCATGCATCCGCACGGCAGCAGCCACACCATGAGACCACCCACATGGTCATGACTTCAAAATCGTACGACTTTGTTTATAGATCGTCTGTCCATGGGACCATCGTGCTGATGGATGCCTTTCATCTAGTCTAAATATCCGATCTGCCCGCATCTTGACATTCTTATTCGAACTCTTGAAGTCCTCTCGTCCTCCTGCCCTTCGACGCCTCGACGACCTCGATTCACGGTGCGATACTCGAGACTGAGGAGACCATTGGCTCGCCCACCCGTCTTGTACCCCTTGTCCGGATGGCCTACCCCATACCAGGGCCCTGTCTCAGAATGCAGGATACGACTAGCGACCGACATCGTCGAACGCGGCGCCCTTCCACAGGAACTCGACTCTTCGTACGCACTCGCCCAGTGGAGGGACCTGGCATGTGCAGAAGCTTGTGTGCAGAGGGCGCGTCGCGGATTTCGGCTCCAACACCATCTTCGTCGCGCTGCCGCGTCTGGGCAATAGCGCCTGTCGCGGAATATCAGCTCAACCACGGACTGAAACAGTCCGATCTGGACAGGAATCAAGGAGAGCAGCGCATCGCATGGGGCAACAACCTGCAGGATTCAGGATACCACTGCCTGATCGTCGCTTACTCGAACATCGTCGTGACTTTCCAAGGCGCCTGGGCAGCTGCGTTCTGGACGCGAGTCAAATCGGACAGCAAGCTGTATCTGACGCGTCCTCAGCGTCATCCGAACAACCGCTCACGCTCCTCCAGAAAATTAATTTAGGATTATCCCCTGTGCTATACCGGAAGCAATTTAGATTGTAGACACAAGGCTCTTGACCTCGCGCCCATGAACTTCACCCCTTCCTCAGCTGGTATATGTCCCAGAGCCATGGTTTTGCGTCGATGGACCCGCAAGTTTAGGTAAAGAATTATGAACTAAGGTTGGAGAAGAATAATACATCTCTGGGAGTCAGAACACAAGATGAAGTCTGCACATTATGTCCGAATTCCTTTTGAGTTCGGCGAGATACCACGTTCCCCCTATTTCCAGCCACCTTCCCATTGGACTGAAAGCGGGCATGCCATGCATAGCCATGGCGACGGGCTCTTAAGACCTCCGCCGAATCGTAGGCGGCAATATTGGTCTGGTGGAATCGCCAGTCTTTGCGTCAGTCCTGGAACCCGTAAGTGCTGTACAGTAAGGTACATACAAGTAGAATCTAGACCCTGGGGATGAGGAAAGGCTACCCCCCACCCCGCAGTACGATGGGCCCCCGGCACCTCTGCGGCGGGTCCTGGGGCGCACCATGTATTACGATAACGATAGCGATCGATAAGCGTCGCATGTTATGTCCTCATTCGCCCGAAGCATCACTCCCATCCTCACATCTCACGCCTGTCATTCCCTTGTTTCATCTTCCCAACGCGGCGTTGGTGTCGCTGTTCTGGATCCTTGGTTATGGCGTCTCAAGAGGCTTCCAGGACGCTCCAGCGGCTTCCGGACGAAATCCTGCTCCAGAATCTTCACGTGTAAGCAAGCAACTTTGATTCCGTCTCGTCTCAAGTCGCTCGGCTGATGGAGCGACGTGCCCCTCACTAGACCTGGAGCCCCAAGACTTCCCCAGTCTGCAGCTCGGATGTCGTAAGCTTCGCGAAATCTCACTAGACAACAGTCATTGGAGATCAAGGACGTTTGAAGACTCGCCCTTTCTAGAGACTCTCGAGCGGCGCCGTCGCATGGCCAGAGTTCTCGACGGCGACGTACTCAATGAACCTTTACTCGATGTTGCTGTCTCTCTGAACCAGGAGATTGACGCCGCAGAACCAAAAGTCCAAGCCGTCCACGGAACATCGATTGCGCGAAAGGAACGACGCTTCCGTGAAATCGCGAATTGGGACCCAACATTTCCCGGCGAATCCGTCTGCTGGTATGACGAATACATCCAGCGCAATGCACCCGTGACCACCAGCTGGCTGCAGCAACCTTGCATTCGAGACGGCAGCTTCGAGGATCTTCTGGATGTACGAGGCGTTGCGCTGTATAATCCTCCAGGCGACCCGGGGAACATGCTGGCCGTCTCACCGCTTGACGACGGCTCAATCTGTCTCTGGGACGTCAAAGGCCGGAGGGGCCGTAAAGGTGCCATAGTGGCCAAGAGCGCACCCGGCATTCTTCACATCGACGGCCCAGGTGCTGTTGGCCGGTCTCGCAAGATCGATGCCGGTGTCACAGAGTGCATCAGCGTAGACAGCCAAGGGAAAAGGGCTTTCGTCGCCGTGCAGGGCCATCTGAAGGAAGTTGACCTCGAACGTCTGGCTGTGGTATCAGACCAGTCTTTCGAGTGGTCCATTGCGGCGCTGTCAAGCGCGCACGTCGATGCCCCCCTGACCGTGGGCACTTCCCTGGGCATCCATCTTTACGACTACAGAGCAAGACATCACCGGCCCCACGATGCGATAGACCAGATTTTCGATACGGATCCGCTACCACAGTACGCGCCCCTTTCTCAACCTCACCCACTCAGCATTCTGCATCTCCCAATTTCAAGCGACGGCACTATTCTGTCCGACGACATATACGTGGCCGGACGGTTCAGCAACATTCTGCATTACGACCGGAGAAAACTTGCTCCCATTGTCGGGAGCATCCACTCGGGTGCCAGGCTTGCCAGTCTTGCCTCCCTCCCGCACTCGTTCTCGCCACTGGACACCGAGGTTCGCCGCAGCGGCGAGCTCTCGGTAGATCAGGTGCGCGAGTCGAAGGAGAAGCCAGGACGGACACTCATTGCCGGAGGCGAATACAACACCAAGGGCTCCCTGGAACTTTACGCCCTCCCGAACTCGGACAGGGCCCAGAGCGGCAGGCAGCACAATTCGAATTTCAAGAATCGATACAACGCCTCGCAGTCCAAGATCCTATCGGTTATCACGCACGGCACGTGCATAGTGTTCTCCGACGGATCCGGCTATATCAAGTGGTTCGAGCGGGATGGCTTCACCGAGGTGCGGCGCATGAGGATCGGGCAAAGTGAGCCCATTAATCGGCCATCCCTGTTCTCGCAGATGCCGGGCATCGATGACCTGGCGAGGAAGATTCTGTCGACGCAGACGCCCGGCCACTCGGAGCGAATCAACGACGGCGAGATTTTGTTCTGGACCGGTGAGAAGCTGGGCCTGGTCAGTCTCTCGAAGACGCCGAGATTCAAACCCAGCGACTTTAGCGACCGAGAACCAAAAACGGAGGAGGAGATGCATCTTGAACAGCAGGAGGCAGAATATTCTGAGCGCATGAGGACAGCTCTGGAACGGCAGGCGGATGACGTGCGACTCGTGAGGGACCTTGGTCTTGGAGCATAATGACAGAGATGGACGATGAATGATGTGAAGAGGATGACACGGCCCACGCCTGGAACGTTGAGACACCAACGATGAGCCTTGAAAAACAGTGATACCCTATCGAGTAGCAAGTGCTGTAATGAATGCAAAGAGGGATTGATAATTTCCAACACTGGGGTCCCACGGCCCTCGGGGCTGGTGTCGTGAAACTACTTGGGTTTGGCGATGCGGGTCTTTTTACGCAATGTTGGAGCGGGGAAAGCTCTATAATTGTCCCGTTCATGTTGGTAGAGATTTACAGGCTCCAAGGCAAGTTGGTGTTTGAGTGCATACGAAGCTGGATGCTGGTGTCCGATTACGAGTGTTAGGCCTTTCATTCAATATCATGTTCTTTCAATTAGGCAGGCGCCTGTAGGTTGGTAAGGCAAGTGCGGAACACCAGGAACCGATGGCGGCGCTAGTACCAAGCGAATCCGATGGCCCCGAGAACTCGACTCAATTGAGGCTGAGCCATCGTCCCGGCTGAATCTCGGACGATTGCGTGTGGGAACTCGTCAGGCACGCCGCCCGCCCAACCTAGCCGGCCGGGCCAAGGAAGGCCAGGTAGGTGCAGCTCCGCCGCCAACATCTCAGGAACCAGCCACAGCGCACTGCGTAATCCCCCCCCCAATGAATTCCAACGTCATTGCCTAGGCAAGCAACTTTACAACGATTGCGCATTTCTTTCTGATTCTGCATCCCAACTCACTGTCAAAGCTGCCGCCCAGCTACACCAACTGCGCATCGATACTACCTTCCCTCCTTCCCCCCCCCCCGCCAGAACCGCCCATCATGGTGAGACACTCCGCGCGCCCAACTTCGGGTGCCCCAGGCTACCGTCTGTGGCACACCGCCCGAGGGCAACTGAACTGACGATCGCGCCTCCGACATGTAGGGTTTCGCGAGACGACCAAAAGATAGAAAAGCCCAGGCGGGCGCATCGGGCCAGGGCGGCGCAGCGGCGAGACCCAAGAAGGCCACCTACGAAGTCACCAAGAAGAAGGAAATTGGCGTGTCCGACCTTACGTTGCTCAGTAAGGTGTCCAACGAGGCGATCAACGACAACTTGAAGAAGCGATTCGAAGGTCGCGAGATCTACACATACATTGGCCATGTGCTGGTGTCTGTCAACCCCTTTCGCGATCTCGGCATATACACCGAGGAGGTTCTCGACAGCTACCGGGGCAAAAACCGTCTCGAGGTGCCGCCGCACGTCTTTGCCATTGCCGAGTCGGCTTACTACAACATGAAGGCCTACCAGGAAAACCAGTGCGTCATCATCTCCGGCGAGTCGGGCGCAGGCAAGACCGAGGCGGCGAAGCGCATCATGCAGTACATTGCCAGCGTATCGGGGGGCGAGTCTGGAGACATCAAGCAGATCAAGGACATGGTGCTGGCCACGAACCCTTTGCTCGAATCCTTTGGCAATGCCAAGACGTTGCGAAACAACAACTCCTCCCGCTTCGGCAAATACCTCCAGCTGCACTTCAACGCCCAAGGCGAGCCAGTGGGAGCCGATATCACGAATTACCTCCTCGAGAAGACGCGAGTCACTGGCCAGATTACCAACGAGCGCAACTTCCACATCTTCTACCAGTTCACCAAGGGTGCTTCGCAGACCTACCGACAGCAGTTCGGCATCCAAACGCCCGAGACGTACGCTTACACGAGCCGATCGAAATGTTTTGACGTGGACGGAATCGACGATCTTGCCGAGTACCAGGACACACTGAACGCCATGAAGATTATTGGTCTCAACCAGGCGGAACAGGACGAGATCTTCCGTATGCTTGCGGCTATACTGTGGACGGGTAACATCCAGTTCCAGGAGGACCAGGAGGGATATGCCGCCATCACGGATCAGTCTGTCGTGGATTTCCTGGCTTACCTGCTCGAGGTGACACCCGAGCAGCTTGTCAAGTCCATCACGATTCGAATCCTCACCCCACGCAACGGCGAGGTCATTGAATCCCCAGCCAACCCCGCTCAGGCCATTGCCACGCGCGATGCCCTTGCGAAAGCTATCTACAACAACCTCTTTGACTGGATCGTCAACCGCGTCAACCAATCTCTCAAGGCCAAGCAGGCTTCCAAGAACGCCATTGGCATTCTTGATATTTACGGTTTCGAAATCTTCGAAAAGAACACTTTCGAGCAACTGTGCATTAACTACGTCAACGAGAAGCTGCAGCAAATCTTCATTCAATTGACGCTGAAGACGGAGCAAGAAGAATATGCGAGGGAGCAGATCCAGTGGACACCCATCAAGTATTTCGACAACAAGATTGTCTGCGACCTCATTGAATCTACAAGGCCACCTGGTGTCTTCTCGGCCATGAAGGACGCCACCAAGACTGCCCACGCTGACCCGGCCGCTTGCGACCGCACATTCATGCAGAGCGTCAACAGCATGTCTAACCCTCACCTGACACCCAGGCAGGGCAGCTTCATCATCAAGCACTACGCAGGTGACGTGAGCTACACGGTCGATGGCATCACGGACAAGAACAAGGATCTGCTTCTCAAGGGTCTTCTCAACTTGTTCCAAACGAGCGGCAACCAGTTCGTACACGCGCTCTTCCCTAACCAGGTCGACCAGGACAACCGGAAGCAGCCCCCGTCCGCCGGCGACCGTATCCGTAGCTCAGCCAACGCTCTGGTGGAAACACTGATGAAGTGTCAGCCATCTTACATTCGCACGATCAAGCCGAACGAGAACAAGTCGCCGACTGAATACAACGTCCCGAACGTCCTGCATCAGGTCAAGTACCTCGGTCTGCAAGAGAACGTCCGCATCCGTCGTGCGGGTTTCGCGTACCGTCAGTCATTCGAGAAGTTTGTCGACCGCTTCTTTCTCTTGTCGCCTGCAACCTCGTATGCCGGCGAGTACACCTGGACGGGGTCATACGAGGCCGCGGTCAAGCAGATCTTCAAGGACACGAGCATTCCGAAGGAAGAATGGCAGATGGGTGTGACCAAGGCGTTTATCAAGTCGCCTGAGACCCTGTTCGCTCTCGAGCACATGCGCGATCGTTACTGGCACAACATGGCCACACGAATCCAGCGCATGTGGCGCGCTTACCTTGCTTATCGTGCCGAGTCTGCAACTCGCATCCAACGTTTCTGGCGTAAGAAGAGAACTGGCGCCGAGTACCTGCACCTTCGGGATCACGGCCACCAGGTCCTGGGAGGCCGCAAGGAGAGGCGCCGCATGAGTCTTTTGGGCTCAAGGCGCTTCCTCGGGGACTACATGGGCCTCAACGCCTCGACTGGCCCTGGTGCGCAGATCCGCAACGCTGTCGGTTTGGGAGGCAACGAGAAGGCTGTTTTCTCGTGCCGTGGTGAGATACTCGAGGCCAAGTTTGGTCGCTCCAGCAAGCCCAGCCCCCGCACCATTGTCGTGACGAACAGCAAGTTCTACATCATCGCACAGATGCTTGTCAACGGGCAGCCCCAAATCACGGTCGAGCGTGCGGTGCCGCTTGGTGCCATCAAGGGTGTCAGCGCTTCGAACGCCCAGGACGACTGGTTCTCGCTACTGATCGGATCTCCCCAAGAGGCTGATCCTCTTCTGAACTGCGTTCTCAAGACTGAGCTTTTCACTCAGATGCAGCGCGTCATGCCCGGAGGGTTCAATCTTCAGATTGCCGAGGCAATCCAGTACGCCAAGAAGCCAGGCAAGATGCAGCAGGTCAAGGTGCTCAAGGACTCACAACAGTCTGTGGACTTTTACAAGAGCGGTGCTATTCACACCCGTGCTGGAGAGTCCCCGCAGTCGAGGTCGCGACCTACGCCAAAGGGCAAGCCGGTGCCGCCTAGGCCGATCACTCGCGGCAAGCTCATCAGGCCTGGTGGTCCCAATGGCCGACCTGCCAGAAACCAGCCCACCACTGCACGCAAGCCTCAGCCTCGGCCAGTTCCCACTCCGGCCGCTGTTGTTGTCCCCGCCGCCGCCTCCACAGCCAGGCCCGTACCCTCTTTCGCGCAGCCGGCTGCTCAGCAAACGCAGGCGGCTGTTCATGCCCCACTCCCGTCCCATACCAGGAACACCTCGGCGACGTCTTCCCGGGGACCTCCTCCGCCCCCGCCTGCTCCTCCCGCCAAGGCCAAGGTCATTGCTAAGGTGCTGTACGACTTTGACGGGCAGAAGGAGAATGAGCTGTCCATCAAGGCGGGCGATATCATCGAAATTGTGCAGAAGGAGAACAATGGTATGTTGATCGACGCACGAGGTTGAAACACAACGTACTGACCCGATTCCAGGATGGTGGCTCGGCAAGAGTGGCGGCCAGCAGGCCTGGGTGCCCGCCGCGTACGTCGAGGAGATGGCGCAAGAGCCGGCTCCGAGGGCACCTCCCCCGCCCCCTGCCAAGCGCCCGGCTGCGGGTCGCAAGCCTGCCGCCCTCTCCGCGCAGCAGCCTCGGGATTCGGTCATCAGCAACGGCGCCAGTGGGTCTGACAACAGCCGCAGCAACACGCCGACGCCGAGTCTTGGCAACAGCTTGGCCGACGCGCTGCTGGCGCGCAAGAACGCCATGCAGAAGAAGCAGGAGGATGACGATTGGTGATCGAGGCTGGTCCTTCCCACGGGCATGCAAAGAAAGTTGTGTTGATTTGATGGCTTGATGAACTTTGACGATGCTCAACAAGTCCCTTTTTTATGTTTCCTCTGACAGCCCGCATTGGGGGGGGGCATGCAGGCACGGCAAGCGACCTCTTTTGTTTCGCTTTCGTCGCGTGGGGGTTCGCAAAGGTGACGCGTTCATGTGGCAAGAACAGCAGAGCGAAGGGGGGTGTCCTGTTACTTTCGCGGCAGGCCAGGTCGGCTCGGGAAGCGGGAAGGGACGCTGGCTCTGGCTGCGTTTTTTGTAGAGATATAGAGCTCTCAGCTGGGGGAGGATGGTCAGCGTCACGTTTGGCGCTGGATCGGCGTGATGCTCGCTTTTTGTCTAGATTTTTAAAGAGAAAAGAAATTGTTGCCACTTTTTGTTACCCATGTCCCATATTGCGTCTCGCTACGTGAACTCGTATCTGCTCGATGTAATTACTCCTCGCCGTCCTTTTGGCGGATCTTTCTCCGACGCAGGAGCTCTGCCAGGGGCACGTCGTCATCGGCTTCGCCGACGATGGTGTGGCGGAGGTCGAGTTCTGTGTTCTCGGCGTCCTCGTCGACGCCGTAGTCGTACAGCCTCTCGCCGTCCGAGTTGGTCCAGGCCGCGCCGCCGGCAGCGTCGTTCAGGCGCACGCCGTCCTCGGCATCCCCGTCCAGCATGTCGTACTCCTCGCCCTCCTCGAGCTCGTCCATAATCTCGGCCCTGCTGCCCTGCCAGCGGCGGAGGTCGGCCTCCTGGCGGCGGCGAAAGGCAGCCATGTCCTCGGCGGGGGTGGCGTACCGCGGCCCCTGGCCCTCCCTGTCGAGGGCGGCCCTGGCGGCGGGCCAGGCGCCGCGGCCGCGCATCTTGCTGGGGTCGGGCGGCGGCCACATGCCCTCGCGCGCGTTGAAGCCGTTCTCCTCGTACGTCCAGCCGGGGGCCCTGGCCCTCGACGGGCGAGACGGAGGGGCCGGCGGCCCAGGGGGCGAGCCAGAGGAGGGGGTTGCGGGTGCCCATGGCGGCGGCGAGGTTGGCGAAGAGGCCGAGGTCGTAGGGGAACTCGACGCGCTGGTAGGGGGCAAGGCCGGCGTCCCACCAGGCGCGGCCGCCGCGGCTGGCGACGAGGTCGTCGTGGCGGTCGGCCTCCCAGGACTCAATGGTCGTCATGTTGAAGAGCCAGTGGTAGGTCGTCGTGGCGAGCATGATGCCCAGGGCGACCGAGGTGAGAAAGTCGACGCCCGCGAGGCAGGCGAGGTGGGTCAGGGCCGGCAGCGAGGGGCCCAGGTAGGCCGGCAGGCGGCGGTCGGACCAGAGGGCGGCGAAGCGGAGGAAGAGGAGGTAGGAGAGGTAGGCGAGGGCGAGGTTGGTGTAGACGAGGAAGCGGAGAAAGTGCGGCAGCGTCGTCAGCGAGACGCAGTTTGTCGTCCAGGGGCAGTGGTGGTCCATCTTGGGGATACAGCGGCGGCACGTCCGGCAGTGGTGGGCGCGTGGGGGCTTGGGGGCCTCGCACTTGCGGCACCAGCGGGCGTAGCTGTTGAGGTTGTCATCGTGGGACGAATTCGTCTTGTCGCCGTTGTCGTTGTCGTCGTCGGGCACCTCATGGGTCTTGGAGGTGAAGATGTAGCGACCAGGATCGACGGTACATGCCTTGTAGTAGGTGAACCACAGACATAACAGAAGGCCGTTGAAGGTGTAGAGCTGTGATGATGTGAGGGGCCCAGGGGCCAGATCGGCCGCTGTGAGGAACAGGTACTGAGAGGAGTACCCCAGGAAGAGGATGAGCAGGGTCACGCCAGGGACGGCCAGCTTCTGGATGATGGGGGCATCATTGAAGCCAGCCATGTCTCCATCAAGGTCCGGCAGCTGTGCACTTTCGCCTCGAAGTGTCTAGACAATCAGCTGCAGAGGAGAAGGCTGTGTGATTAGAGGGGTCGGAATGTGGTCAACGTGGATTGTGTCAGATGGAAGCTGCCTGCCTGTTGCGTACGGCGTGCACGGATCCTTCTTTCCAGGGAGCAGGAGCTCGACGCGGGTCCAGGGACGGAGACGCGTTGAGTGGCTCCGTTCGGCTTACCTAAGACAGTGATGACTTGTCTGCCCCTGAAGAGCGTCGTCACAGCGCGCGCCGTTGGTTGTCCCTTGGCTCAAGATCAAACACACGTCTCCCATCATCTCATCCCTCCTTGTCCTGGCCTTCGTCTTGGAAAGGCTCAGCTGGCTTGAACAAGGCTCAAACATCTAATGGGTTGACAGGTCGCTGGGAATTGAGCCAGTACCTGACACGACGCGATATCCCTGGCTGCCTAGGTACCCGCCATTACCAACCTGGGTACCTCGATTGCAAGAGACCAAGCCTCACCTCAACGGGCTTCCCCAATGAGGTGCTAGGAGGCTGAGTCCTCCACCTCACTGCAATGGCACAGAATGGGCGACTCCATCTCACTGCCCTCTGGTGAGCTCTGCGCGCCTTGACAAGCAGCTGCCCGTATGGAAAGTTAATTGGAGACAGCGCGGTGACATCCTTCATTTGGATCTCTTACAACTTTGAGCATCACACATTGAACCGTGAGACTGACACACGACATATCCCCCCCCCTGCCTACATGTAGAGAGGCTGACTTGGAGCAGAACGGCCACGCTACGCGCTTGCCATTGTACTCCTTCTATCGGCTGGCCTCACATGGTTCGTCAGCTACTCATCAAAATGGCTTCCTGGTTCCGACGCCAGATTCGGTCAGTACCATCCCTTCCGAGCTGTTCTTCCACACGCAACTAAGAAGCCTCCAGATGAGAAAACCCCTGATCAGACGTCGGCGCTCTCCAGTAGCGAACACGCGCCCCTGAGCCTGCCGCGACGACCGCGTCGTTACTTCATTCCTATCATCGTGTTCTGCATCATCATTCGAATCGAGCTCTTTCACCAGACTGCCGCCAAGATCCAATGCTCCGTACCTGGCATTGAGGTAGAAATTTTCTATCTCTCCCTTACCAGTGACCAGAGCTGACTGACATCGCCTCCAGGCTTTCTTCTGCACCCTCGTGGTCGTATACGATGTGTTTTTCGGTCGCAAGTCGCAGTCTGACGTACTGCCGTGGCCCACCGACCCTTGGGTCACAGTTGCCGACGAGCTCCAGCAGTGGTTCAAGACGACACGACTAACCCTGGTCGCAAGTGTCGTCTTGTTTAATCTAGGCGCATACCTAGCTGCCGCGAACAAGCTTCACTCGACGTACTTTTGCTCGACACTCTTTGACAACCGATTCTGGATTGTTTCTATGCAGGTCTTCGGCCTTGTTCTTGATGGCGTTATTGCTGTCCTCCTCTGGCGAGTCCTCGTGTTTACCAAATCCACGAGGGCTCGCCTTCGAACCCTCAGTGGTATTCAGTTGACCGTGGGGGCTTTCGACTGGACTATGCATGTCCTCTTGACTCTCCGTCCTACCGTCCAGCCCACTGGTGTCAACGGTCTGGGCTGGCTGTACTTGTTCGACTTGATCAACGACAGCTTCACCTTCTGTCTTCTCATTGTTTCTCTGAGCCTCCTGGTCACCGAGTCCGGTCCTGTCAAGCCTTTTGGTATCATTACGTTCATCTCCAGCCTTCTGACCTCTTACCAAGCCTTGTCTTCCGTGGGGGATGCGTACGGCGGCGCAAAGATCGCAACCCTTGACCTTTCATCCTGATTGCGTCCGGCTTCGGTCTCTTCATGTACACGGCCAATCTGCGCTCTGTCCTCTTTGTCAGGCGCGCGTTCCTCCTTTTCATCCTGACAGCTGCCATCATTGGATCGACTGTCTATGTCATTCTGACGAATCAGGTCCTCAACAAACATCCCCTCGACACTTTTATATACGACGCTCGCACCGAAGCAGACCGCTGGTTGACCCATGCATCCGTGAGCAGGAGCTTGAAAGTGGCTGTTCAGGAATACCAGGCACGGCACAATGGCAGAGACCCCCCTCCGAATTTCGACAAGTGGTATGAGTTTGCGATAGCAAAGAGCTCAGTCATTGTGGACCATTACCAGCAAATCGAGAATGACGTGGCCCCCTTCTGGTCCCTGAAGCCAAACAGCATCCGAAAGTCGACCTTGGACCTCGCCGCCAACGAGGCTGAGCTTGCCCTCGTCCAGGTCGCAAACAAAAAAGTGACGCACAACTACAAGGCCGAGGACGAACACCGCCGGGCCTTGGATGACCTGGTCAAGATGATTGAAACCTTTTCCGAGTATTTGTCAGATATGGATCTGCCGATCAACTTGAGTGGCGAGCCGCGTGTGCTTACGCCTTGGTCGGATCTTGGGGCAGCATCCGCGACAGGCGCTAGACGGAAAGTATCATATGAACACCCGGCGCTCAGAAAACCCGAAAGATTCGACACCGCCGGCAGACCCCTGAAGTGCCTGGCAGCAAGC